GGGGGGCTCGAGAATGGAGCAAGGCACCGGGCAGCGGCCAGAGGATTACCTCTGCGGGTAGGAGAGAGAGACAGAGAGGGAGAGAGCGAGAGAGAGACAGAGAGGGAGAGAGCGAGAGAGAGCGAGAGAGAGCGAGAGAGAGCGAGAGAGAGCGAGAGAGAGCGAGGGCGATGGGGTGGGAGTGGGAGTAGAGGAAAACAGCGCGGCCCCTTTTGTGGTCATGATCGCCACGCGGTGAGAGACTTAAACAATGATCGCATTGTGTCTGCGGTGCTTCGCCCCCAGCCCCTCCTACACCTTCCACGCGTACGGCTCCGGGATGAGGAGGGACGTCACTATTTTTGGTCGGTTGAAAGCGACTGGCGCGGACGTAACCCTGCCCTTCCCCCGTCCCGCCGACGTCGTCGTCGGTGCCATGAGTTTTGAAAGTCACTGGCAATTCTTTTGGACAGTCTCTTCCCCCAACCCCGCCTCCGCCTACCTTTCTCCCTCTCAACAAATTTTAAAATTTATGATGTACTGCACAGATCTCACTTTACAGTAAAAACAAAACAAAAACAAAAACAAACAAAAAAACATTTACAGATTGCTGTTTGACGATGTGTCAATTTTAATGATGCTTAGCCAAAGACGATATGGTAGTGTCTCCATATTGCACATCGTTCACAACATTCTTGTTACTTGCTACCGGTATTCGGTATCCTTAGAACATGTCTTGTAAAGGGAGTTTTAGTCCTATTATATGGCCTCAATAAATAAACAAATTCAAATCCCCTCTTCTTTTGTCTCTCTGTCTCTCTCGCTCTGAGGGGTAGGGTCGACGGCGCCGCCCTCCTGACTGGCGAAACTATTATCGCAGAACACACCCTGTTGTGTTGTGTTTGCAAAGAGTGGGCCGCCGCCGCCCCTACCTTAAATTAATCACAAGTCCCATTAATTACAGCGCTGCTCGGCTTGGCTCGGCTCGGCTCGGCTCCCGGTATGCTCTTTGCTCACGAGCAAGAATTTGGTCCGCCGTCATGAATCAATCTCCCGCTCGCTTCCCTTCGCGGAATGAGGAACATCCAACAACCTCGCCGTTGTTTTCGGTGGCGAAAAGAGAAAGGCGTGGGCGCCAGGCAAACGCTGCTTACTTTCGGAAGGGGGGGGGGGGGACTAAAGCTCATCTTGCCCCTCCGCTTGACTTTGGCCCTTGTGTCTCAAATCTGCTGCGTCATGGGTACTGTCAATAGCCAGGATGATTACAAGAAGAATTTGAAGAAAGCCCCTTTTATCCGAGCGGAATCCGTCGCAAAATCACATTCCCGTAAAATGTTGAGCATAACGCGTTACGCACTTTTTATTTTTGTTAAAAAAGAATCTCCACGTTGCAAGGGCGCTTCCTCCCCATGACATGGATTTCATGACTCGTTTTTTAAATTTTATTTTTTAAATTTCATTTTTAATTCCCTGCGGCAACCCCATAGAACGAGCCGGGAGGTTTCCTTTCCACCCCCTCCCCACGAGCACTTGTATTAAGAGGGGCACACGCCAAAGACACGTACACAGCAGTGCGGCAAACAGGGGAGATAAAAAAAATAAAACGCCGCAGAGCAGGGCAAAAATTACAAGCGCCAAGCGCCGCACAGTGCCGCCCCGCCCCGCGCTACGCCGCGCCACGCCCCGCCACGCCCCGCCACGCTACAACAACAAAGTGAGAGTGTAAATCTGGCGGGGAGAGCGAGATGTCTCTTAATTTGAGAGCGCGGGTGCGGGAGGGCAGGGACACTCGCGGGGAGAGCTGCTCGTCGTCGTCGGCGGCCCGCCCCGCTCAGGTCGACTCTCCCGGCGCCCTCCTGGCGCCCCTCCGGCCGGAGTCCCGCCAGGACACCACCCACTCCGCCCCGCCCTCTTACTCCGGAAACTCTCCTCTCCGCCATGTACAGCCGTCCTGCGCGGGCGTCGACGAATTTATTAAGGCGAAATAAAAAGTACTCTTTCTCTCTATTTTCACGCGCGTCCCCTTTATTCCATTAATTCTTTTAATTTTGTGGACATGCAGTCGACCTTGGGCTGCTGCTGCTTTTGCGGGAGGAGGGTGGAAGGTGGCGGAGAGGAGGACGGGCACGACCACTGCGGCGCGGTGCACCGGCCGGGGCTGTGGCTGTCGCCCAGGATCAACCCCCTCCACCTCCACTCCCCGCCCCGCCGGCCCCGCCCCGCCCCCTAGCCGCGTCCCTGTTCCGTTTGTTCGCTTCTTGCTAACCTAATTCCGCCGACGAAAGTTGGGAATTCTGGCCAGGCATGGCAGGCAGCAAGCAGCGCGCCTGCCGGGGTTGGAGTCACCCATCCAGCGACGCGCGTCGGGACTCGTTGTCCGATCCTCGTTTGTGGTAAGTATTTAGAACGCCTCTGAGAGGGGGCTGCCGACGCACAACCGCAGTCCACACACGGGTTGCCATAAAAAGGGGGAAACGAAACACTTACCTGGAACACGATGGACTCTAGGGGCGCGCGGTTGTGAAGGACGTCACTCAGCAGATCTGCAAGCAGAGGGGGGAAGTTTAGTTGAGAAACGTTAAAGAGAGGACAAGACGCTCATACTAGGAGCGAGAACACAAGTAAGTATATGTGAGAGGGAGTAACCGCAGAGTGAGTCCGTCCCGCAACCGTCACGTCGCCAGAGCTCCCTCCCTCTCATGTGAACGTTCCATCTCCCTGGAAGAGGAGGAGAAGATGGAAATGGAGCTGGAGGAGAAGAAGAAGCCTTCGAGAGGCCAGCCTAAGGCTCCAAGGCATCCATTCGGGGAGCGAGGTGTGTGTATGTGTGTGTGTTGGGAAGGGGGTGGGGGAGGCATCAGGCAGGGCGCCAAACCAAGGGAGTGGGCGGGCGGGCTAGCGGGCCCTGAGATACAAAACTTTAGAAGAGAGATAAATTGGAAGCTCGAGGTGAAGAATAGCGAGGCCGTGGACGGGCAGCCGCGAGTGCGGAGCAGTGCGGAGGGACCCCGGCGCGACCGACCGACGCACACGGTCCGAGGAATCAGCTCGCGCTGGGCTGGGACGGCGCGGGGAAATTCCGCCACTTTGCAAGGCAAACGCATTGCCATTCGCGGCGCCCGATCGTTTCCGTAAATAAACTTTTTCCGTTTCTTTCATTAATTTCCTGTTATTTTCTTGTTCCAGTTGGAAACTTTTCCCCCCGCGCGCCTCCCCACCCCCCTCTCGCGCCTTGAGCGGGGCGTAGGCAGGCGTGCGACTTTGATCTCGTTTGAATGGGATGCCGGTCGGGCGTGGCGTGCCCCCACCCCCTCCCGTCCTCTCTGCGTGATCCCACGGGGAAGAAGACTCAATAGCTCGTTCGCACGGGTCGAAGCGTAGCCGAGCGAATCTTTACTCTAGGAAGACTCAACATTTTTCTTTAAAAAAAACAACAACTATTTTGGAATCCATTTGGTTCAGCTTGAAATGGACCGTTCCGCTCGTCACCATCTCTAGAGTGAGAAATCGGTCCTGCGCTCAGGGACGAGTAAAAAGATTATCTGTATTTTAGGAGCCTGGGATTTTTTCGGGTAGTTAAACACGCACTATCACTATCCATGTTTTTTGAACTGTTCGCGCAAGCGCATGCTCGATTTGTCATACTCTCCAGCGACGACTGCCGGTCGGTGAGTAAACTCCAAGGAAGGAGCACCTGCTTGCGCGTGGGAGCCGTGCCGGAGCTGTAGGAGGAAGGATATTTACGTGAGTAATCTAAGGAAACAGTAGATTGGTGGTATCGCGTGCACGAGAGACACAGGCACGTGCATAAACCGCTGCTATGGTGGATTTAGTCTCGTGAGGAAGCGCGCCTCAGAGGTTATGGGTACTTCGACCCCTGTCATGCTGGGCAACCCAATCACATAGTGTTGTCTTCTGATAAGTTTGTCGGCAGTTGATAGCCTAACGTTATTCTCACTGCATGAGAGTGCGTGCTCTCTGAGCGCCTTTCTTTGCGCAGTAGTTTTTGATCGGCTCACCACGGTTAGAGTGCGTGCTCTCTGAGCGCCTTTCTTTGCGCAGTAGTTTTTGATCGGCTCACCACGGTTAGTGAGAGCGCGTCACGTCGCGGCAGGGAGTCGTGACGCCTCGTCGTGCTCGACGCTCTATGAACGGACCGCTCTAGAAACATGCGCCACGTTACTTGCAGTTCGGCCACATTTAACATTTATTTATTTTTTGCGTCAAGGGAGTAGGGTAAGAAAATTGTGGAGGGGGTGGAAAAGGGGAAACGGGGTGGTGGATGCAGAGGGGCTGCTCAGGATCAAAGCATGGGGAGGGGGTGCCTCTTGGCCACTTGCCCACGCGATGACCCTCCCTCCTGCCCCCACCCTCCCCCCCACGCGTGGCGACCTCCTTCATCTTCTCCTCATGCAGACATTTACACTTAACAGAAAAAGAGGAATACAGAGTATCCCCCGCCCCACACGCATTCCCGGCCGTCCTCGGGCCGCCGTCCGCAGCACGAGAGCGGCGCAGAGCGAAACAGAGCGGTTCGCTGCCACCAGTGAGAGCTGTGGGAGGGCGGCGGCCTCGCGGTGTGGATGTCCTCCGACGCCCAGATGCGTTGCCCCGGGCCGTCCGCAGCACGAGAGCGGCGCAGAGCGAAACGAAGCGGAGCGCTGCCACCAGTGAGAGCTGTGGGAGGGCCGGCGCGCATGTCCTCCGACGCCCAGATCCCAGATGCGCTGCCGCCGAGACTCTATGCAGGCGGGGAAGGTCGGCTTCCGTACTACTTACCTCTCTGTCCTCCACCTCACCTCCGCCACGGTAGTGGTAGCAAGAAACGGGCCGGCGCCAGCCCACGCTAGCCCCCGCGGTGTTGGGGTCGAGAGAAGGAGCAGGAGCAAGGAGGAGGTGGGAGGGAGTAAGGGGTAGAGGGGCCGGCCCTAAGGGCGAAACGACCTGAGTGAGTACCGCGCTGGCCTGATTTAGGGCGCAAGCCGCGGCACGGAAGGGGCGAGGAGGGCGAGCAGCACCGTCTCGCAGACTTTCCCCCCTCCCCCTCCCCGTCCCCCCAAGCTCCTCCCAGCTCTTACCCCGCCGGTACGGACCACAACCCCCTAGCTAGACTCTACGCCGGCGAGCACTACTGGCGAGCCCGCAAAAGTGCTGACAGCCTCAACTCGGCCCGGCTCGTCTTGGCCCCGGCCTGGCCCGGGGTCCCGGTCGGCGAGAGGCTCACCGAGCGGGAAGTCGTTGGGCTGCACGTAGGACAGGAAGGTGGACAGGTAGCCGAAGATGTCGCTGCCCTCTCCGATGTCCAGGTTGTTGAGCTGGTACGCGTCGCCGCCCGGGACGTCTCTGAACTGGATGACGGCCACCTCTGGAGGCGGCTCGGCCAGTCCGGGAGCGGACCGTGGCTGGTTCCCCTCCTGCGGACAGGAAGGTCGGCATGGGTCCAGCGCCACGCCGCGGGCTCCAGCCCCCTCAACTTTTATCCTTCCGTTCCCTACCTGAAAGGCCTCAGGGCGCTCACCACCGCCGTCCGTCGTTGTCTCGGGCGCGTCCGTCGGCCACCGAATCACCTCGAAGTCGTCGGCCAGCGCTTCGCGCATCTCCCCGGCGACGGATGACTGGTTGGCGGCGGCCCGGCGCCAGGGCGCCTGCGTGGCGCGGACGGTGCGCAGGATGCGGCCCTTCCTGGAGGTGACGATGAAGGCCCGCGTGCTGAAGCGGCCGGGGGCCGCGGAGCTCGCCGTGTTGTTGTCGTCATCCTGGGCGCGGGGTTGCGCACGCAGAGGCCCGGGGACTCCGGCGTGGCTTTGGATCAACATGTTGTGCGGCGGTGGGGCTTCATCGGGGAGGGGCGCTGCCGGGGAGTCCGGGGCCGCCGGGGCCGCGGAGGGCTCGGCGGACGCATTAGTGGGGGTCAACGAGCCCTGTAACATGAGAGCGCAAAGCTGGTTAACAGTCCGCGCTTTTAATCAACTTTAAGAAGGGGTATTCTCAGACCAGCTCGGATTAAAAACGGTCCCCGCCGCTTTCTGACCGAATAGCTCAACGCGCTCGCGCTTCGTCTGTACAAGTACCGATAAACCGTATAAAAAAGCAAAAGGAAAGGACGGCAAGCCAACCCAGCTAAGGCGGCGGCGGCACTCGGCTTAATTGACCGCCGGCCGACCATCTAGGCAAAACGTTTTTGCCTAAAGCAAAACGCCATGATGGCGTCCCGGTCGTGAATGCCAGGTGGGCAGACCTTGATTGGGCCCGAAAGGGGGAGGGGTGCCCAACCGGGACCGCCCCCGCCTGTAATTGCATCACTTGTCCGGCCCGGACTCTGCACTGACGATTCCCTCTCTGTGCCCCATTTCCCCTGGGCTGCATTAGCGCCCCGGGCCCTGCTGTGGGAGCGGGGGGGGCACTCACCGCTTCCCGCCGCGCCCGAGGCGCCGCAGGCGCCGCAGGCCGGCCCGCTTCCGGGTCGAGGCGATGACGGCTTCGACTCGCCCCGTCGCCGGCGCCGTCCTCCTGGCTGCCTGCGCCCCCTCGCGCTTCCTGTCGCCGCCAGGATTCCCCCCCGCCGGGGCTGTCCGGGCGCTTCCGGCCGACCTCCTCCGTGGACGCGGCTCCGGGGTTGGCGGCCGCGGGCGCGCGCTGCGGGGCAGCATAGGGCAGGGCCTCAACGACGGGGAACTGGAAAACACCCGCGGGCTGGGGAGGGGAGGCGGAGAGGTCGCTCACCCTGGCGCTGACAGCCGCCGCCGTGGACACCGCCACCGAGGCCAGCAGCAAGACGGCCATCGCCGTGCAGGAGGAGCTGGCCCTCATCGTGGACGTGGGGCCGCCGCCGGCGCGCTCTGGGTGCGCCCGGGCGGCTGCTGCTCGTCAGTCACACACCGCGCCCGTCACACATGGCCCTGCAGCAGCAGCAACAACAACTACAACCACAACAACGAGGCGGACCCTCGCGGCGCGCCGACACACCGCGCACTAACATCGACGGGGCTGTGAGGAGAGGCACGCCTCGGGGGGAGGCCACTGGCCGAGGTGCAGGACGGGGCTTCTCGCGCCCCCGCCGCCCGCAG